GGATATACACTCAGTGTAATAAAATGTGTTCACGGAGGTGGAAACCTGGAGCGGATCCAAAACTCGATTACCAACCTACTGCATTCTTTCTCGTTATTTTTCTTTGCATAAATCAAGATATCAGAAAATAGGAAAAACGTTCTCTCTTTCGCTGATCTCCAACCTCGCTTGCCAACCCTTAAAATGAAATAAAATTTGAGTCGAGTGCATTCCGAGTTTATACCTATATGTTGGGAAACCGCAATATTGTCGAAATTACAAGAGTGGTAAATTGGTCCCTCGAGATTTGCACGCCCAGGATTGATATGTATGTATGTACCACGTGACAAACCTTATGGACATCTCGTGACCGCTTGAGTTTCTTAACTTAAACAATCCGCCGATGTCCAACTGGAAATTGCTTTTATGACAGAGAAAGTTATCTTTAGAACAGTTTAAAAGCGGTTTAAAGGATTGAAGGTGTGAAAGTGCAGTCTATAACATTCTTGAACAAGACCCCCAAAGATATAAAATGTGCGAGAATGAAGTCAGGCTGACGGGCAGGCTAAACCTCCAGCACGCAATTGTAACGCAGTAGGTCACGTGACAGATATTAGACATCTTACGATTTTAGGACGGCAACGCGACGACGACGGCCAAAACAAACTCCTTCAAATAAATGGTATAGTAAAGATAATTCGTCGTATATTGTCAATCGTACTATGAATTTAGTAGAGTCTTAGAAGTTGAAGACATGGGTTTTATGGTTGGGAAGAGTTCGGCTGAACCCAGTTTGAAGGTGATCTCTTGGTTGTGGCTTGAAATGCAGCCGTTGTGTCAAGACGTGAAAATCTGTGATTTGGCATTGTAGACAGAGTGAGGACAATGTCTAAATTATTCATATATTGTAATTATTTAATTTTTTTCAATGATTTATTCTATTGGTAGCCGTTGCCGTCGCGTTGCCGTCCTAAAATCGTAAGGTCTTTATTATAGCCGTTATTGATGGAGAGTGATGGCGACAGACGTTCTGGATTCAAACAACAACGGCTGTCGCCATCAATCGCCATTTACTGTATAGAACGGCTCCTCATGTTGTCAAAAACGTCGCTTGCTTAGGCTCTCTAATATTTAGTGAGTTGGGCAAATACAACGTCAACGAAGGCGTGATCATCAACAATAGAATCGTACTCAAAGGCGACCATAAGTTGTATTCCGCCGTATTGTAGTACGCCGTATAGGTGTTCAAACTGCTACGTTACTTGCATCATTTTTACGGCCCATACCGTATTTACTCGATTGAGCGCCGCCCCCGATTGAGCGCCGCCCCCGAATGAGCGCCGCCCCCGAATGAGCGCCGCATTTGAGATCAATTTTCTTTAAAGAGCGCCGCCCCCGAATGAGCGCCGCACTAAACAGTGTAAAAACTTTCCGCGTCAAAATTGGGACATTTAGTGACAAAAACCTTTTAAAACTTGTCTACGTTATAGCTAAAAGTTCTTGTCATAATTCACAAATAAAATATTTTTTAAAGAGCGCCGCCCCCGATTGAGCGCCGCCCCCGAATGAGCGCCGCATCTGAAGCTCTAAAAATTTAAAGAGCGCCGCGGCGCTTAAACGAGTAAATACGGTAATCACGCCAACGGTTAAAATGTTCGAAGTCGTGTGCGGTGCTTTATGTGAATTCACAGACTATTGCAACTTAAGGTGGCTTCCTACAGTTGTTTAAGCAAGGGACTGGTAACGAAATGACGTGATCTCGTCGAGTTGAAATTTTATCACGTCAGCAAAAATTTCATTTGACCGCGCAAGGTTTGTAATGCAATAACTTTTTCCCCTTCAATATTTCTGAAATTTTGTATTTTAAAAGTACTAGACTAGTCATTTAGTGCAATATATTACATTTTTAAAAAATTCTATAAAACAGTTTTTGTGGAACAAATTTCAAATATTTTGCGTCATTCTGAAGCAATTAGCAAATATTTTTAGTCATTGTGAAGACCTTATCATTTTTTCGCTGCCGTTTCCTTACAACTGTAGGGAGCCACTTAAGGGTTGTTTGTAAAGAAAGGTAAGTACTTTTGAGAGTCAAATAAAGTTCAGTAATGTATGCTTTGGCTCGCATACAAAAATGGAACCAATTTTGTTTTCTGCCGTGGCTGTTGTCGGTTGCCACGCTATATATATAGATATGGCACGTTTAGCTCCAAAAATATACCTACCTTCAACAACGTTCCTTCCTTGATAAAAATACGACCTTTGGAAAAAGATTGAAAATATGAGTCAAAGAACACGCACCACTGGACTATTTATTAATAAGTGCCAATTGACTTCATTTACCGAATGAGAACCTGGAGTCTAAATTTAAAAGTTTCAACTAAATTTAAAAGTTTCCGATCAAATATAATTTTGTTCGGTTCTGGTAGCACGGATCTACAGTATAATCCCAGGGTTTCAAAGATCGGGAATTAGCTTATTACTTTATACTGTATATATTAGGTAGAGAGCCTCGTTAATATCGAATGGCGAGTCTCGCTGGGTTGTGCAGACATGCCGAACTGACAATTAGAGTATCGATATCCACTTAATTTCTGAGCACAACGGCTTAACAGTGAAACTAGTTTTGAAATCACTCATTATATATACTTACCAGGTGCAAGTAACTTTGGTGCACCTTCACGACTAAAACTGTTCTGAATATTCAACATTTTCTGAAAGTTTTCATGTTGACGAATATTCTCATTGATATGTAAAGCGACCTTGCTTATTTGATCAACAGCCTCTGAAAGAAACAAAATAAAATAAATTATATAGCATAACTGTGTTTAATGTTTCTCGACTGGACTCTTAACTCAGTTGGTTAGAGCGCTGCACCGGAATTGCAGGTTCGATTCCACCCAGAGGACCTATAGTTGCATTTCTCGCAGCTGCTCCTGATTAGGTCTAAAAATGTATATGATGTACACTTGAAATTTCCATCTATAAAAAACTTTCAACATTTATTTCAATCGCGTGAGAGGTTTACTGTCGTTCCAATTGAAGTGTTCCTCAAATATTGATTCAATACATTACCTCAGGCTGACCAATTCATTTCATCAAGTTCCTCGAGAAATACATATACTTCCTGTGAAAGAGCCAATTCCAAGTATTTGATCATTTCTGGTCACTTCCTTTCTATTTATGATTGGTTAGTTGCACAAACAACAAAGGTGATTGGTGCATTCAAATTATTCAACAGGAAGTTTACAATTATACTAGGAAGTGTATGAATATTTCGAGGAACTTGATCAAATGAATTGGTCAGCCCGAGGTAATGTATTGAATCAATATTTGAGGAACACTTCAATTGGAATGACAGTAAGGAAAAAAAGTTTAAAGAATCAAGATTCTCAGCAAGAAAAGGTGGTCATATAGGGTGGTAACCTAAAACACCCTCCCAACATTTCGCGAAGTGTCCACCATTGACTCGTGAAAAGGCTCCTGACACAAATTATTAATGGCAGATTGCATTTATTTTCCGCACAGGGGGTTGAGGACAATGGAAAATCCAGGGGAAGGGTGTAAAAAAGGCCTTGGAAAATGCAGGGGGAGGGGTAAAAACGTCTGCAGAAATCCAGGGGTTGGGGTGATTAGAGACCAAAATCCAGGGGATGGTCTGCGATTAACGTCATTTTCCAGGAGTATTTAGCAATGAATTCCTAGGAAATTCCAGGGAGGGGGAGGGTGTTATATAAACTGAATTCCAGGGGATCACAATTCAGCTGGTAAAAAGATGTCCTCAATCCCCCCCCCCCTGTGCGGAAAATAAATGCAATCTGCCAATATGCTGCTCGCCATCTGTTTTAGAAGATTTGTGTTGCACTATAAATGGATTTGTTTTATTTATAAATTTAAACATTTTACATTAATTTTAAATAATATTTACTAATGTTGTGTGTGTTATCAGGTATTGGTATAATTTCAGTATTGAAAAATGGCCTTTGAGCATTCTGATTGGCTCCATCAGCAGTAACTCTAAGGCAATAGTTACTGCTCAAACTGCTCTGAGCAGTAACTATAATGCTTTGCCAAAAAAAAACATGGCTGAAAATCAGACAGAAGTAAATTATTTATGCACATTATATTCATAAAATAAATATGTGTACACATTAGTTGTATGCACTAGATAAACATGAGCAGCCGATCTTTATCTGATATAAAAACTCGAGCCGAAGGCGAGGTTTGTATATCAGATAAAGATCGGATGCGAATCGTGCTTATAAAACGATCGTGCTTATAATTTATCGTGCTTATAAAACGACTCGTCTTATGAGTTCATTGGCGAAGTAATTTTAAAAATAAACATTGTCTAAGCCGAGAAAATCAAAGCTGAAGTTTTAGTTTATGTAAATCAGAACAAATCTTTATGCGATTTACAAACATTGATTAAACATTCATTTCTTTTGAATTTTCTTCATGAATTATTAAGTATACTAGATAAATTAAATTTATAAGTACTAGATAAATTAACTTTTTCAACACTGAAATTATACTAACACGATTAGTAATATATTAGAAAATAATATATTATTATATATTACAGAAACATATTTGAAAACCAATATATTAGATACACAGTATGATGCTAATTTTTATAGACATGCGGCTAAAAAATAAAAAGACACCAACTCCCTATTAAAAACAGTTTGGAAAAAAAGACGCATAAACCAAGTTATTTTTTCAAGTGGCCTATATTATTATTATTACGCTTCGTTTCTAGCACACTTTCAAAAGACAAGTGCATCTGAGTTAGCACGCAATCGTGAAGCTTTCGTGAAACCAGCACGCTATATATACCATATACTGTGGAAATGACGTATACCTTTCAATTTAGTGAAGTCAGAATGCTCATCTGGTGTTTTCCACAACAAATTTTCCAATAACATTTTGTATCTGAAAAACAGCGTTTTATTAAATTTCTATATGAATTATTTATTAGTATATATAATAGGATTGTTTCGAGTGTAATTTGAATAAAACATGCAACAGTGAGTTTTTCAAAATAGCATGCACGAGTGCGAAGGACGAGTGTTATTTGAGGTCTTTGTGCTTGCATGTTTACTGTAGTTGTTTTATCCAAATTTCACGAGAAACCATCCTATTACGCATCAATACTACACATAAAAATGTCCGAAACAATTATGTCAGTAATTTACAGTATACGTCAGGCCTAGAAAATATATTTCTCTTCCTGGCAGCAAGATCCAAAAATAAAAATTTCCTGAGGTGTATTAGTCAAATATAAGCATATGTACAGATTTCAGACAACGCATGATGTCGCACATTGTGATCAACTCTTGGCAGAAGACAATCTCAAATTGCAAAACGCTTTTGTAAACAATAAGTAAATTATATGGCATTCCAGTATATAAGATGACAAAAAATTCCTGCAAGATGTTAAGGCCGTTTTCCATTAACGTCCGCTTTGCCCGTGCAGGCGAAGCGTTCGTTGTTTTTGACGCCCGTCACGCCCGTGCGGGCGAAGCGACTGCCATGGAAAACGGCCTTAAGACAATTTGCTGCGAAGATATTTTGTTAAAAACGTCTTGACAGCGTTGCCGCTGGCGGACATTTTCCGGCACTGCTGTACGTCTCATGGGCGGATTTACTAGGGGAGGTTAAACCCCCCTAGAATCTATCTAACCCCTCTAATAAAGTGTTCAACCCCACCAAAGTTTCGCTTCGCCCATCCTATTTTGTGTGAAAGGCTTTAACCCAAACGCCTAACCCCTGCCGAAACTCACGGAGTGGTTCGGCTTGCACCCCACCAGAAA